AGCCTTTTGTATCCGTGCAGAAATCTCATCGGCAACTAACCCACCGGAGTTGATCCTACTTCCCAGGTAAGTGAAGTGGTCAACACACTCAACCACTTCACTCTCTATTGTTAACCGCGGTACCGCTGAAGACCAGTCCTGGAGCAAAAATTTGCATTTGGGTGGTGAAAATCGCATCCCAAACATTCTCAAATTCCCACTCAAAGTGTTCAGAAGACTCTGCATCTTGTCAGCGTCTTCACCTAACAGGACTATGTCATCTGCATATTCTAGATCTAAGGAAAATTCACCTGTGATCCGGTCAACGTCTTTGTAATTAGGTGACGAGAGGGAAACCTCCATAAGAATATCTATGATAAAATTAAATAAGAATGGGGATAGTGGGCATCCTTGACGGACACCACTTGATGAGTATAGCTCCCTGGACAACTCACCATAGGCTCTAACATGCCCACAAGTGTTCGAGTAGAGAGCTTTCAATAAGGTGATGTACTTACTAGGCACGCCTTTCAGTGACAGACACTGCCATAAGACTTCTCGATCAACGGAGTCAAATGCCGCCTTCAGGTCGAGAAATACAGCTATTGTCGGGCGTCTGTAAGCATGCCTATGTTCCAGGACCTGGCGCAGTGTGAATATTTGGTCGATACATCCACGGCCAGGTCTAAAGCCTGCCTGGTTTTCTCGGGCTTGCTGTTCCCGAGCTCCACTCAGGCGTCGGAGAATTATAGAACTTAGGATCTTAGACACTATGTTTGTCAGGCTGATTCCTCTGTGGTTATCACAAGAGGACTTCTCGCCTTTCTTGAAGACTGGGATGATCAGTGACTTAGACCAGTCGGAGGGGATCGTATTTGATTCCCATATACTGGCTAACACTTCCGTTAGCCTGACTAAGAGAACTCTACCACCATTCTTGTATACCTCAGCAGGTAGTCCGTCTGGTCCTGCTGCCCTTCCCCGTTTCAGGCTACCTACCGCTTTCTCAACTTCTTCTAGTGTTGGGGGACCTGTCTCTATGTCCCATTCAGGGTCCGACTGGATAGCGGGCAGCGCAATGGTGGCTGGAGGCCAGTTAAACTGTTCCTCAAAGTGTTCTGCCCATCGTCCCAGTCGCCTTCCCTGCGAGTGAATCGCCGATCCGTCCTTCTCCGCTATAACCTCACTAACTGTTGTTGACCATTTCCCCCCAGTCTCCTTAATAAGTCTAAATAACTGTCTACTGTTACCGATCGCCGCTGCCTTTTCCATCTCTTTAGCCTTTGCTGCCCACCACTGTTCACGATCGTTGCGCAGACTTTTCGTCAGTTTATTTTTAAGTTGCGCTCGCTCTTCATTGTACTCAGAGCCTGCAGGGATGCATTCACGTGCATCCATTAGTTTGGAAGAAGCTGCTGATATCCACTGGCTCTTTTTAGCCATTATCTTGGAGTCGGCTACAGTCTCCAGTGCTGCTTTTACAGTAGACTGAAGATGGCACCAAGCTTCTTCTGGATGAGTGACAGTCTTTTGTTCCGATAACTGCCTAGCCAACTTCTCACTGAACACGGCTTTGGTGTTTTCGTTGTCCAGCAGAACTCGTAGTGGTTTTGTTGCCAAATTTTTTCTACGTCCATTGAGACGCAGGCATATACGTGCTCGGACCAACGCATGATCGCTGTCCAAACACGTACTCCAGAAGGAGCGGCAGTCTTCCACCGATCCTCTCCAGCGATGACTAATAGCAATGTGGTCTATCTGTGTCCATCGCTGAGTCGAGCTCGGTGGACGCCAGGTCAGACAGTGCCTTTCTTTATGTCTGAAATTTGTGCTGGCTAAAAATAGGCGGTTATCTGAGCATAGTTGTAATAGGCGATCACCGTTATCTGTACGTTCAGCTGGGATTCCGAAAGTGCCACCTAAGTGCCTTTCTGCCTCACTCAGTCTACCCACCTGTGCGTTGAGGTCACCTGCAACAACCACTACGTCCGAACGTTTGGCTTTCGAGAGGAGGTTAGACAGTTTATGGTAGAACTCGTCCTTCACTTCATCCGAACTACAGTCAGTGGGTGCGTAAGCAGAGATTACAAAGAGACAACGGCGAGTCTCACTATTCCTTTTAGTTCTCACTGTGCCGTTCAGCCTCATAGCGCAGAGGCGACTATCAACTGGGATCCAGTCTAGTAGTGAGTTTTCTGCCCTGGTGCTTAATGCTATACCTACACCTGCAAGACCACGAGAGCTAGCTATCGAATCTCCAGAAACTCGAAGGGTGAATTTTGCAGATTCACCAGATTGGTCAGGAGAGGTCAGGTGAATAACCACACTTGGGTCCTGTATGCGTGTCTCACAAACACAGCACACATCCATGCCCGAGTTGCTAGAGTCTTTGCCAACGAAGCCTGTTGGCCAATTTGACGGAGGGTGCGGACATTGAAGGCTCCAATATGTAATTTGGAGCGTGGTTTAAGGAGACCAGGGACACTGTTCTGTGGACTCAGATCGTTGTCGAAGGCTGCAGAGGTAGGAGAAATTGAAGATGATGCAGCATCATTAATTAAGAGACGTGAAGGAAGATTAGAAGGTAATGATGGAGGAGGAGGATAGCAGTCAGAAGAAACTTGGGTGCTGACAGAGTTGTGAGGGCGGTTGACACTTCCCGGCTGCCCACACCGTGGAAGGCTATTTCTTCTTAAGGTACCTGAAAGAGATTTGTGTGACCGCAGAGCCCATCGGACATCTGCTTGAGGCCTGTCACACCCAGCCTTTTGAGTATGATTATTTTGAATTTTTGTATTTTTGGGGCCGGATGAGCGAAAGGAAACGACAAGTGAACCAACACCGCCGGCCCGGCAGACCGTGGGGCGTGGTGGAGTGTGTTATTTTTGGGGCCGACCTTTTCTAACCCCCCCTTCCACTGAGAAGGCAGCATCAGCTTGGCACTGCTGGTCATCCAAGGGAAACACCTTACTGCTGTCACACCCCATCCAGCTAGCAGCAGTACGACTTCGCCCTCAGACCCCCATCATAGTGTAGCAATTTACACTATAACGGTAACTGCTTTTCGTCTAACCACTACCCAACAGACCTTTCTGGTATGGTAGGACCTCGAGGGAACAAGCGTTCCACCAGCATAGCTCGTTGGGTCATTGTGATATGCAAGCCCGACCACCACGTCAAGGTAGCAGCTATCGGTCGGGAACTCTGTGGATATCGATCACAATGATGTATTTCGGATACTAAGCAATCTCGACGTGGAAAAATTAACGGGACCGGATGAGCTGCACCCAAGGCTGCTCAGACAGCTTGCACTCTATGTAGCCGGCCCATTGACTATTATATTCAGACTCTCTCAGTGAAGGCACACTCTCCTATGACTGGATGGACTCCATAGTAACACCTATCTACAAGGAAGGTTCTAGGCAGCTCCAATCAAATTACAGACCGATAAGTCTGACTAATACTGTAGTGAAAGTCCTAGAAAGAGTAGCCAGAAAAGCCACCACAGTTCGCCTAGAGACCAACACTACTGTCTCGCTCACAGCACGGTTTTCGTAGACATTTCTCTTGCTTGACGAACCCCCTTACAGTCAGAAAAAGTTGGTTCAAGTCTAAAGATGATAAGATACCTGTGGATACCATTTTCATTAACTTTAGTAAGGCGTTCGACAAAGTACCTCATTCCAGATTGCTCAGGAAACTGGAAAGTTTTGGAATCACTGGCAGTCTCGTCGCATGGATAAGAGACTTTCTTGTCGGTAGGAGACAGAGTTGGGATCAACTCCCCACTTGGAAGTTGATAGAGTGTGGAGTGCCATGAGGCACAGTCCTGTGTCTCCTGCTGCTTTTCCTTTATACGTAAATGAGCTTCCAAATATCATGAAATCCCCTATGGTTCTTTACGCTGATGACGTAAAAATGTGGCGGGAATTTAGGAACGATGAGGATATACGTGAGCTTCAGGCAGACCTGAACAGCTTGTTTACCTAGTCAGAGAAGTGGCTGATGCCTATGAATGCAGGTAAATGTGTGAGCATGGACTTGGGGCACACACACAGCGACACCTACGATATGGATGGGACTCCACTACCCTCACTACAGACCCATAATGACCTAGGAGTCACGGTGAGTTGTGAATTGAAAGCCACAGCTCACTGTTAACTGTTAGCAGCTCGGAGTTTTCGGACTCTCTGGGCATTACGCAGAACGTGACATGTTCACCATCTTATGCGCATCCTTAGTCAGGTCTAAATTATAAAACTGTACATAAGAGGCTAACCCTTGTCTGAAAAAAGACGCAGGCTTTCTAGAAGGAGTTCAGAGAGCAGCCACTAGTATGATACCTGCGATGGCTGGCCTCACCTATGATAATCGGCCTAAGAAGCTGAACCTCTTCACGTCATCCCACCCCAGACAGAGGGGAGACCTAGTCAATCTATACAGGATTCTAAAAAATGACTTTGGACCTGATCTATCTTTTTTTTTCCTTCCCACCAGGTCGGAACACCTCAGAGGACATAGTAGGAGACTACATAGGCGAAGAACGAACATGGTCTCCGCAGAGTTCTGGTTCTCGTATCGAGTAATCAATGCCTGGAACCGACTACCAGAAGAAGCGGTGTCCGCATCAACTGACTCATTCAAAAAAGGATTGGACAAGCACAGAAATCTACTGGGAAAGGATTATTATAGGCTATCAGCCTCCTATCCTCAAACAAGAAATCTGAATGGGTGATTGTTAGGGTTACCTGACGCAAAGATATATGTGTAATTTATATAGTGTCTAATTCATACCCGTTCAGAAATTGTCCTGGTGCGAACTTGACAGAAGCAGGGGCCAATCACTAACTCTCCTCAAACAACAAATCTCAATAAAAAGTACTATAAACAGCAACAAAATATCTTGTTAAGACCATGTACCTATAAGTGTAAAGGTTATGTAATATATATATACATATATATGACAACACATCCAGGTGTATTTATCAACAAACAGTCAAGAAACAAAAAAATCAACGGACCTTCAAAAACCTGCAATTTCCCACTACAACCTTGAGTGTTCAAAAGCGCGGTTGCGACGTCCGACATCAAAAGTATGAGTGTTGGAAACTTGTAGTTTTTCAGCTCTCGCTCCTAGGTCTTTTTGTCCAGTTTTAATTCTTCGATGGTCGCAGAAATCTTTGTGTTTCCCTGCTTATAGTTTTGGAGTCAGTGATTGTCTAGTTCCAATATCCAATAGTGATTGTGCGAGGGTAGAAAACTGGTAGTTTGTGATCTCTCACATCTAGTTCTCAGGGCTTCGTTCGAGTTGTTCGGTTTACTCCTGCAGTGGACGAGGAAATCCCCTCTGCTTTATTCCTTTTAGCCTCGATGAGGTGGGTGTTTTGTGGGTTAGTAAGTTGCAATTTGTTGAGTGATTGGGGAGCTACAGGTTGCTGGGAAGTTTAGGGAACTGCCGTGACTCCTGTCTGTGTAGGTACCTGAAAGAGAATAGTAAGGTAGTGATAAAAGAATGAAGAGAAGAAAGAAGGAATAAAAATTAATAACAAGGGAAGAGAAAAGGAAAAAGAAGGAAAGGGGAAGAAAAGGAGGGGTGAAAAAGAGAAGTAAGAACGAAAGAAAAGCATTTAAGAACTGCGCAAATGGTCGCGTTGGTTTGGTTCCTACAGACGAATTAGTAGGTAATGTGGGTGTATTAAGGAGGGAGATAGTGAGTGGCAGTTAGGAGGAAGTTGGGGACCAGTGAGGTTGGTGACTACCTGAGTACGTCAGTAGTAGACCATGCGAGGTGACATAACTGCCTAATCGTCTCTTGAATGAATCGACTGGGGGAGCTACAACGATATGTCGTGGTCAGGCATTCCATAAAGCTGAAGTTGAAGGTATTTTGTCTGCAAATTGTAACCTGGTTAGTTTTGGGGGAGGGGGATTGGAGAGGTTCACAAGGTCAATCAGCCGTTCGCGATTCCTGTTGTTGTAGAAGCCTGCAGGTAAGTGTTAAGCCTTACTTAAAGTGTGAAAGGAACGGTGAGTGCGGACTGAGAAAAAGAGGGATGAAAAGCACTTATGAAAAGATAAATGTAACTGGTAATAACATGGAGGAGAGATGCGTCCTATTGAAGATACTAAGGTTGCCGGATTAATCAATACACGGTACCTCTTTGGAAGCTAGTGTGAGTCAGCTGATTGTTTTCCCCCCCTTACTAGGTCCTACTAAAGGTTCCAGGTCTATGGTGCATTCCGATGCAGCAGGTCTATATACTGCCCGCAGTAGACGTGGCTAGCCCAACGAGCTGTTGTGTCCTGACTAAATTTGTGGAGAATGTGTGATTTTTCCACCAGAGGTCCATTCAGACTAATCGTTAAAAAAGGACGATGAGGATGAAATGACGTCCAGTGGGATCAAGAGAGAAAAGTAGAGCAGATAATGTGACGAGAAGGGGAACAGGAGGAATAACGTTGGTTCATCATCAACGATGTCATTTGCTTTCCTTTGTGATGGAAATAAATTATGCAAGAAGAAAGCTGGAATGAGAAGTAATATTCCCCCGGTTAACGGGGGTGGTAAGAATTGGAAGATTTAATGCAAGGGGGGTTCAGTGGGGAAAATAAGAACTGTGTTAATTCTAGGGTAGTGTAGCGGAGGAGAGATAAACGGATGGGTTTTGAATCCTGGTGTATGTATTTTCCGACACCTGTTCGAAGAAACCAACTGACTGTGCTGTTCCTATTTCTTTTGGCAGACCGTTCACCAACACTCTGATAGGGAAGTTGAATAAAACCTCCTTCCTAAACTTGTATCATCAGGGCTTTCCCTGGCATGTCAGTCCCCAAATAACAAGTATGGCTTACCGGGGTGGCTGATATATTGGTGGCAGCAGTGGCCATTCCGACAACTATGCCACCTCCTCTGTCTGTGAGAAATATTTGGTAAAAAGATAATGAAGTGTGATGGGATTCGTCCGCACTCTCATTCCTCCACAGCTACTTTGACTTCAAGTTCCCTCTACATGGACAATCAAGTAACAACTAGTTGATTACACTGCAGGTAGCATCCATCACTTCATATGTTGAAAGACGAACCACCCAGTATTTCTTCAGGTTAGAGCTCAAGCTGTCTCGGCTGTCGAAGACTCTAACCGCGACAGGTGGATTTGAAGTGCCTTAGAGTCCCCTCCCCCATTTTCTGCTTCACCTTTTGATGCCTCGGGTGAATCGCTTCTAATAGGGGGGTCATTTGTCGAAGGTTAAAAGGGGAACTACTCGGAATACGACGGTCATCTTGCAAATGATGTGCAAAGTGTACTGGACACACTGAAATTTATCGCAGCTGGGCTGTCCTTCGACCGCCTAACTGGGGCGCCAACAAGATTCCCGCTAGAGACCACTCATCTGAGATCACGAGGTGTGACCCTGAAACCGCTCATGCTGATCATCGGTACTTCCCAAGCTACGTTCCAGTGCTGCGAACACTGGACGGCAGTTTCACTGGTTTGGTTCCTGTGAGTCAGCCAGCCGTTTTCAAGTGATCTGAACTAATTCGACCCAACGGGCTGAAGTTTTCTGAGTGCACTGCGGACGAGTTCGTCCCTGTAGGATCAAGACAGCTGTCTAGTCTTTAGGTGGCTCCGATCTGGCCAGTGAAATAATACAGATCAGTCCGATTGGTTTCCAACCGTCCAGGTTGTTCAATAGTGTTGCTTCTCTCTAGGACCTATTCGGGCATGGATACCTGGAAAATTCCCAGCCCTAGACACCTCCAAGTGATGCCAAACTCACTGCCAAGTAAGTATGCTCCGAACCGAATAATAAGTGATTAGATGATGCCTGCCTCCTCAAGTTTAGTCAGCATTCTGCTAAGTCGGATGCCGCCAACAAGAAAACTTAGGTCCAAAATGATGAACTGAACTGTCTGTTTACCATTCCGTTTTGAAGCACAGTTGTTTCAAGCTTTCATTACATTGGTCGAAAGTGATGGGGAGGACGTAACAACATTTTGAGTGGCATTTATGACTGTCTTCTCAATTACCAAATCTTAAACAACTTTCCCGGTGCGTTTAGCAGATTGCTTGGCGATGCTTCCTTCAGGATCGTCTGACTACATCTTGGTCATGTAATCCACCATTCTGTACCATGGTGAGGTCTTTCGCACACCTGATACCAGCTTCTCATCAGTTATTATGCAAACCTTTATCGATACACGGTTGCCTACCCTAATACGCACTGAAGTCCGACTTCTGTTACCTAGAGACTATCACCATTCAGTTCATGACCAAGAGTTGAAGCTATTTGCCCTGCTTCTCTCTCAGTGTCCTCCTCAACTTCCCCCATCCATCACAGAAGCGTGGTTGAATGGTATAACAAAGTGTCTCTACCAACCCACCTCCATCCCATCCCGCGGTGACAAGCCTCAAAATACGACCACTCAGCCATGCTCCTGCAGCCAAAATCATGGTGAGCAGCAACTTACTGGGGTTGATAACATGGATTCTAGGCTGGTTGCAGTCACCGTTGTATCCACTTACAGCTCCGAGGCAGGTTAGGTGGTTGTGACTTGATAGCAGTTGAGCCGGTTTTGCCTGAACATACAAAACTGAGGGGGTTAGATGGTATCTCATCAGTCTTCTTTCCCTCTTTTGCAACGTACCTCCTCATTGTCGTTGCTACTGTAGTTGGAAACCAGTCCGCTACTCATCCTTTTAATTACTCTTTTTACTGCACTTTCTTCGGGTACCTGACTGGTCCACTTATGTCTTTTTTACCAGTACAAACGACTGTTCATTAAACAAATCTCATTGACCGTTGCTCCATTAAAGTCCCAGGGCAAGTATCTACTCGCCTTACAAATTTAACAAACACCTCACCACCCACATGATTTACCAGACTTTAACTGTCGAGTGACTGGACCGATCATGGACCCTAAACCTATCTACAAGACACAGAAGAGAGTGAAAAGAGGTCAAATGGCTTACAGAAACCAATTAATAGATATCGGGTTGTACCTTGGATAACCATTCGCTTTACTACGATCTTGACGGCATATACGTAGGACCTTCTGACTTTTTCTACAGACACCTGTGGACTTTTACCGGAGTGATGGATGTTTGGCTGGTTATTACTAAAAAATCTATCACTGGTTGCGTCTCTAAATACTCGTGAGCGTAGCCAGAAGCAGCATGAATAACGACTAGCAGCCTGAGTTCCGGTGTGACACATCGTAGGACGGCGACCTGCAGGGGGGACACGTCCCTGGGTTTGAAAAATATTCATGCTTGCCGAGAGTGACCTCATATGACACGCCGACCAGGAAGTCTTACGGAATGGTTTGATGGTGAAGCCTCCCATATACTCCGCCGTAATATGACAACGGTAGCTGGACGTAAATGCATCCCTGGCTTTATCTATTCAAATGACTCTATTTACAACATTGTAGACCCAAACAGTTTCTGCTTTCTGCGTGAAACCATACAATACCAGACCCAAATTCGCCCCCGCCGTCCATTCCGGTCTCGTTTGTCATCTGTAGGAGGTACAAAATCATTGAATACAGATATCTCTCCGGGTTCACCTGTTCTCAACATGCAACATACCATTATAGATTTCACGACTCACTACTGCTTCTCATGCAGAGTGAACATACCCCCATTAGGTTTTCACCAATGCTGTTTAACGATATCTCTCTTATCCAATATTTGTGGCAAGCAATATCTGAACAATTGTTTACTCCAGAAAACCCCGTATGGTACGATGATGTTTTTAAAGAGATTTCACAGCTTCAATAAAGAAATAACATTCGGATATTGCCTGTAAAAATGGCACGTGTTCGTAAAATTCGTCATTCGAAATATATTACAATTATTATTCATGGAGGGACTTCGCTTCTCTCTGACCTCATAGCAGATTATTCAGACATTTTTTAACCAGAGCATACTGCCTGAAATTAAGAAGTCAGGTTAGTCATACATACCTTCAAGGACAGTCAGCAAAGCAGCCCATCGGGATACAGGGCAGTGACCTTTTCGTCCGTACGCCAGAACGTGATGGAGTTTCTGGTCGACAAATCTGCACGCGACTTTCTGACATGCAGT